TTAATTTGTTTGATTTTACTACAAAGTATAAGTTGATGCAGCCCATAAAACATCACCCTACGATTCGGGAAAAAAGTTTATGATTAAGATATGTATAAAAGCTGGTTTTCGAAGAACCCTTTAAAAGATTGATGTTGGGTTACCTCTCATTTGGTTTGAAGAGGCGAGTGGAGGGGATACGTGAGTTGGCCTCACCGGAAGCTGTAGTGGGATTGACTTGGAGCTGTGATTGCAGATTTGTACAAATAGGTAATCGGCGCACCGCCCTGCGACCCCGATGAATCCCTGCTGAGCTTTCGGTCAGACGACTTTTAGGAAAGCAAGTCTATGTGAACTTCAATGAAAACGACAGTTCTAGTCATACAATTGAGGGAGAATTCAACTACCAATAATACGAAATAGGGTGAAACAAATCAAATATCTGATTTACTGGTAGTCCTGAAAACCTACTGCAAGACGAAATAAGTTGAAGAATTCACAAGAATTTTTAACTGAAACCTTCCACATCTCGGACATTTGTTTTCACTGGTTACAAATAAATCATGATGCTTTATGCATCACGCTTCCCTTATTATACACAATAATTTTAAGTGGCACTCCATCTTTATGTATTTTGGATAGACCATATGCATTCGGAGGCTTAGCGTCTCGTTGAAGAAGCGTGTTCATATTCCACTTCTCCAGTCCACCGTTTGTTGCTGCAGACAACCCCTGAGTCTAGACCTAAGGGTTTTCCGAAAGGTTCCAACTAATAAACTTGTATGCGGTAGTGTCATGCAAAGGCTTATTTTTTCTACATAGCTCAATCTATCCCTAACTACCACTGCTACTCCTTTGTCCGCCCGCAACACCATTTGTTCCTCATCGTCCAGTTTCGTTGATGTTTTTCATTTTCTTGTTCCTGGGTGTTATTTCTGCATGACTATCAATTAAACGAACGATCCGTAATTCAATATCACTCCTAATCTCTTCTGGAAGATGGTTAATAAAACTTATAAGTTCCTCCAGACTCTCCTCTTTATTATCCTTACTATTTGGCAAAACAAAGTTTAAACCTTTTAAGAACACTTTCTCGGTGGTAAAGTCCAAGGCTGTTTTGGAGAGATTTACTACTTTCTATCCAACTATCTTTTGCTCACTACTTTCCCTCATAGAGGTATTTTGATTAGCAAATTCCTAAGCTTCTTATAATGTATGTATCTAACCCGTTGGAAGACTCTATTATACGACCTATTCGCCATTCTTTGTAATTTGGAGACATATTTCGAGCTAAGAATACTTGCAAATGATTGACGTAATCTGGTTTTCCTCCTTATCAAGGAATGTAATTTTATAATGTTCTTTTGGGTTCTAATATCAATTGAACCCTGGGATGCGCTCTGAAGGACTCGCTTAGTTCTTTTAGACAAAGTTGGTCTATCAATAATACAGCATCTAGGAAGAACCTTACGAGATAAATATCATTTTAAAAAACGAATATGGTCAATTTGCTGGGTCATTGCTTTCTTGGTCTGAGTGTAAAGTGATGATTCTCTGAAATAATGGATTCCGTAGGTATATAAAAAAGTGGGTTTCGAAGAATCCCTTAATTGAGTGATGTTGGAGTACCTTTCAATTCGCTTTTAGAGACGAGTTAAGGAATTCGTAGATGATTCACGGCGTCCTCCTCTGGCAGTGACCGTCACATAACGAAAGAAAGCTCAGCAAGGATTCATCGAGGTCGCAGGGTGGTGTTCTGAGAACCTATTTGCACAAATCTACAATCACAGCTCAAATTCAATCCCCCCACAGCTTACAGTTAGGCCGACTTGGGAAGCCCTTCCACTCACCTCTTCAATCGAAATGAAAGGTACTCCAACATCTCTCCATGGTCAAAAATGATAAGAAATATCGTACTACCACTCACCTCCAGCTGAGATGGCGAATCATATAGATTAGCTTCAGTAGTTGCGTTCACCTTGTTCACAGGACTATGCTCCTGGATACCCCATCGCCGAATAATCCGAGCCATTAAATCGGCTTCGGTACGCCACTGGTCACGATCTTCGGTCAGTGTGTTTACATGTTTTTCGAAGTCACGCCGAGCTTTCACAGTAGCAGCAGTGGTGGTTCCATTGCCAGACCTGCGATTTGTTGTAGCTGATGCTGAAGAGTTGCGTTCACTTGAGAGTTGAGCGACGAGTTCTCGTTCTTGGCGAAGTATATGAGTAAATAAGAGGCGGATCAAGGTGAAGTAAAGAAACCATACTAAATTCAGAATTAAATGAAAGAGTTTAGATATGACTATTTTTGTCTGCGACTTCAGATGCGTAACTCGTATTGCGCACTATTCAGTGCTAACCAGATACATTCTTGAAGACCAGCATCCTATTCGACTTCCTTAATAAGTAATACCATGAAATTATGCTAAACGAATCGTACAAATGCAGAGAAAGTATATTTTAGATACTTTCATCTAGAGATTTTCAACAAGCATATCTTCCCGTGTCCTTCTTAAGACTGGTAAGTCTAGGTAAAAAAGCCGATTAATCTACTACAAGTTCATACCGTAAATTTACTCATCAGCTTAATCCATTCCATCCATAAGACCATGAAAATCATTCAAGTTATCTTAGCTATGCTTTACAATATCAAAATTTTATCTCATATATATATATATGAATATGAAAAAAAGTTAATTTACAACGAATCCTTTAGTAATCGTAGATATGAAGACCCAAATGGTGTGGCCTGTTTGGCCGGAGTCAGTAAGTTAGTGTGACTATACTCTACATTTCAAAGGAAAAATTGGTCGAAGAAATTCGTTTATTGGTTTCACCGGAACCCAAAGAGGATTATTTTGGAGTGGAATGAAGACACTGGTTTGTGCGAAAAAGTACTCAGCTCACCTTCCTGGGACCTCGACAAAACCATGCAAAGCTTTTGTTCGTCATGAAAGACAGTCAAAGCGAGAAACTATACTTTACTAAAAAGTGGATCAATATACTAAATCAAAGGAGTGAGTAGCAAGGTGCATACTTACCCATCTAACATCTTATTTTGCGATCTTAATCAAGCATTCCACGTGGTTGATCGCTTCCTGTTAAATCGACATGCATGAAGATGGATGAACTAAGTCGCAATTGTCGGTCACAACTGTTTCCTTACATAAATAAGCCAATATAAATATGGAAGTGTGCTATCCCCTAATAATGACGCATATTTAGATACGCGGTATTGTGTAATGCACCCAATGAGGTCCACAAAATAAAAGATAATAGAATGAATGAAGCTAATCTATTTTAAGGCTTTCTTGTGGAGTTGTGTTTGAAAAGAGTTTTTCTAGATGCTTAAGACAAAATAATAGCATATGAGATATATCCACTCTATTTTGTCGATGGTGATGAAGGACTGGTAGTTGTATTGTTCCCACCATGATGTGAGTAGGTCTTGTTTCCATTAAATTTCACATAGAATTGCTTTTGAAAAAATATTTGCATTCCGGGCAGATTATAATTTAAGCCTCGCTTAGGTCTCATCAGCACTACCAATAGGACTAGAGCGCTAGTAGTGCGGTGTATAATCTTAAAACCTACTTCTAAACAAAAAAATAATTAGGGATAGAGTACAGAGCACTAAGGGCGAATCGGCTCAAAATAACAATCCTTCTTATATACGAAGTGGCTGGATCTTGAATAGCCTCTTAAGATAGCATTTGGAACCTAGAAAAGATTTGTTCAAAGAAGTTTTCGATACACAAAGGGTGCTTCTGCCTCGGATTTTCCACTTCCCATTACGAATCGGTTGAAGGTAACTCTGGTTGTTCATACTAGAAATATGGGGCAGGTCGCCCTGCAATGCTTTGAATTGTTGTGAAGACTTTCATTTTGTATGAAATTGCATGATTTGCCGATAGTTTATAGGCACTTGGCTTTAATACAACGCTTAGGTCGACGCAGTCCATAAAACCTCTTCCTTCATTTCGAGTGAAAATGGACTGAGCTTTAATCCAGCCCATGATGATCCGACAGACATCAGAGCTGGGAGCCATTCTGGTAAAAGTCTTGAGTTAACATGTAGTCAAAAATATTTTCCAGGTGTATCCTACATGCTATATATATATACTCATAATTAATAAACGAAAATATGTTGATATAGATAGATATATAATGATTTGATTAGTGCTTTCCTATTAGTCATGGTACTTTTAATTGAATGTATTTGTGTGTGTGTGTATGACAGAAATTGCATAAGTATGCAAGCAAGTCTGGTTTGCAAGCTTGCACGCGCGAGTCTAGCTGACAGAAGCCATTCTACTGAAGAGTTGAAATGGCTAAAGTATTTAGACATAATTGTAGTCAAAGATAGACCTTTTCTCATGTTCTAATTTTCCCTCATGCATTCTTTATAAGTAGATAGGCGAACTAGTGACTAAGTGGGGTATAAAAAAAAGTTTTCAAAGGAACTCTGAAACTTTTTTTGGTTATGCCTGTTTTTAGAGAGAAAAATGACCCA